AGAACTTCATTGGTATTTCCTATTTTTATTAGTTTTCTGGGTTGAGGAGATGGAAGAAGAATTTCTCATTTCTTTCTTTTCTTTCTTTTTTTTTTTTTTTAGAGACAGGATCTCTGTCTCTAAAAAATGAGAATGCCATCTCCCAGGCCAGAGTACAGTGGTGTGATCATAGCTCACTGTGGCCTGGAACTCCTGGGCTCAAGCAATCTTCCTATCTGAGCTTCCCAAGTAGCTGGGACTACAGGTGCACACTACAGCACCGGACTAATTTTTTAATTTTTGTAGAGACAGGGTCTTGCTATGTTGCCCAGGCTGGTCTCAAACTCCTGGCCTCAAGTGACTCTCCTGCCTTGGCCTCCAAAAGTGCTGGGATTACAGGTGTGAACCACCATGCCCAGCTGAGAAATGAATTTCTTGGAAGTATTATGGAGATGGAGGCAAGAGACAGAGACAGGATGGATGCTTAACGGGGTCTGAAAAAGACCAGGACAGAATAACACAGTGGGTCCAAGAAGGCATGACATGACAACTCCAGATCTGGTCCTCCTTTGGGAAGAATAACTCATCTTTTCATCTCCCCACCTCACCCTCCCCACCCCCACTCCCGAATCCTTTAATCTGTGAACCTGGCCGTGCCCCTCCTCTTGTTTGAGCCCTGATGCCCTATCTAGCCTTCAGGATAGGTTTGGATAAACTCCTTAGAGTTGCACACAAGGTCTTCCCCATCTGACCCCTCCCGGCTTCCCGTCCCCCCTCACTCTCCCCCGCGGGCCCTCTTCCTCCCCTCCCTCCCCCAACATGCAACGTTTCTTGCCCCCGTGTCTTCACGTATGTCATGGCTCAGGGGACCCTGTCTAGAAGCTCCCGCACCCACTGCCCCCATGGCCCTGCCCGCCGGGCTTGTGCTTAGGTGTCCGTGAGTCTGTCCCACTCGGGGAGGAGCACCTCGCAGGGGCTGGCTCACCTGGCCCCCAGCACAGTGGTTTTCAGTCCGCTCCAGCAGCTGAAGGAGCAGCTTCCTCTCCCTCAGTCTTCCTCTCCTCTCTCTGACCGGCTCCCCTTTGCCACTAGTATATTGAAATTCAGTGTAATACTTCATTTTTACAAAAGAGTCCCCTGCTTAGAAAATGTAAATTTAAAAATTACCTTTCTAGCACCAGCAGGCACTCAGTAAACATCCGTCATGCCTTAGATTGGCCGGGGAGGTCTGTGTGGCAGAGCCACGGCCGTGGGCGGTTTGTGGGGAGGATGCATCCACAGGAGGCTTCTCACGGGGGACCATGTTGAGTCTGCAATTAGTGCTGAGGAATTTCACTTCTGGGGACTCTTCTTTTGTAAATGTGCTGTAAATTTCCTTCCTCCTCTAATAAACATTCTTTTGCTCAAACCTAAGTACAGAGATCAAGGAGATGATAATAGAGAAAGAATAGACATAGAAATACTAGGAGGGAGGAATCTCACTGGTGTTCCCAGGATTTTTGAAAGTACACTGTAAAAAAAAAGCCAAATAAGCCCCCTCCCCCGCTCCTCCACCCCTGAGAATGAGGCTGTTTGGGAAATCAATCTGTGAGTGTAGTTCTCAGATTGGGAGTGTCCATTCAATTCTTGGACCTGTAATTGTTCCTGGGTCCAGAAGAAAAAAAGATACAAAGTTGTCAAAATGCAATGGGCTCCTAATGGGTCCATGGCTGGTAATAGCCAGGGTGACTTAGGGATCTTCTGCGGGGAGAGTAATATTTGAGGCAGGCCCGTGAGATCAGCTGCTTCTCTCCATGGAGCCAAGTCCCTAAGATAGGGGTCGCCACAGAGGATAAGGAAATTGACAGGCAACAGAGAGAAATAAAAGAATACACAGAGACTGGCCGGGCGCTGTGGCTCACGCCTGTAATCCTAGCTCTTGGGAGGCCGAGGCGGGCGGATTGCTCAAGGTCAGGAGTTCAAAACCAGCCTGAGCAAGAGCGAGACCCCGTCTCTACTATAAATAGAAAGAAATCAATTGGCCAACTGATATATATATAAAAAATTAGCCGGGCATGGTGGCACATGCCTGTAGTCCCAGCTACCAGGGAGGCTGAGGCAGAAGGATCGCTCGAGCCCAGGAGTTTGAGGTTGCTGTGAGCTAGGCTGACGCCACGGCACTCACTCTAGCCTGGGCAACAAAGCGAGACTCTGTCTCAAAAAAAAAAAAAAAAAAAAGAATACACAGAGACTAAGTTATAGTTTATAGTTTTATACATATAAAAAGATCAGATATAACACAGCGGGAAGTTCCTAGGGGACTGGCGTATCTCCATAAACGCCAGCAATATGGTTACATTCATACAGGTTTTTACAATCACAGTCATCAATTAGCAGTTGTCAGGGTAACATATTTGCATATCAGGGAATGCAGTTGCTAGGGGATACAGGTAGTGGGTTAGGGTCAAAAGTCCTCTCAAGGGGCTTCTAATCTATCTAGGTGAACAAACAGGTACAAAGTCTTTCAGGGGCTAATTTCTAAAGAGGTAGTTGTCAATTAACAAAAGTAAAACAAAAGAGGTATAGTTTGACTCAATATTTCTTTCATTAATTATGGTGGACTTAAAGGTAGACAGACGGAAGAGAGCAGGAAGCCCATCTCTAATAAAACAGGTTGTTTATAACCACCAGGGCGCTTCTCTGGGCAAAGTGCACTCATTGTCTCCGGCTCCCATCCTGTGGGCCATGTTTGCCTTGCCTTGTCTTTCAAGACACAGGGAAGCTCACAGATTTTGAGATACTGGGAAACCTTCCTGGAAAACCTCCCTACCGGAGATTTCAGAGCTCTCCCACGATAGCAGCCTCTAATAAGTGAACCATTGAGTCCACACATTCCTTCAGGGCAAAACCATGCAAACTTCTGTTTCTGTCTTTAATATAACAATATTGGGATATACAATAAAATAATGGTCTTATGAACCACATTTCATTAATTCTTCAATTATATTTTCTCAACAATCTTCCATGTCAGGGACGGGTTCTGTCGAGCCTATGGTAAACACAGGAAGATAGACAGTGTTGACTTCCAAAACCTGGGACGCTAAAGTACCTCTGTTTATAAGTTTTAAAAATATTTATTTTTAAATAAATTTTTAATATTTATTAAATATTTAATAAATAAGAGGGAGAGAAATGTTCATTTCTCTCCCTCTTATTCCAAAAAGAATTTAAGATGGCTTACTGAAATGCAAGACTATAGCAAGGAGAAATAAAATTGAAGTGGAAGAGAAAAGGAATAGAAAAACAAGAAGAAGGAAATGCAATGAAGGCTGCTGTTAATACAAAAATGTGCACAGATAGGCAATAAATGTGACACTCAGATTTTCGTATCTGTGAAAAGAGAGACACGCCTGATAAACTGACAAGGGGCAGGTGCTCAGGGAGAAGGGGCAGAGCTCTGCTCTGTGCAGGGAGACGCGGCAGCAGAGAGAAGGCCAATGGGCCTTCTCAGCACCAGGACAGGAAGAGGCAGATGGTGACAGAACGTGGGTGCCAGCAGCATGGAAATTTCCAGAAAGAGGCCACCACCGGGCACCATTGTGCCAATCCTAATTGGCCTGTTGTAGTAGTAGGATGACTTATGGATCTTAGGGATCTAAGAAAAGACACCAAAACGGTCTTGTCTGACCTCAGCGCCACCTTATGTCTTTATTTTACTCTGTGGTTTATAGGATATTTCACATGTCCTCTTATTACAGACTTGATTTTTCACATGAATTAGCCAACATTACAAAATATTCTCAAACCTGTTCTTTGTTTCTTTGGCTGGGTAGACTTAACACAGGCACATATATTTTTAATAAGTCCTTATGAATTATTGAAGGGTGAGGTATGCTGTGTTCTATAGGAAAAGACATTGTTTTAGAATCAGAAGAACCTAGATTTAAAATTTATCTCTTCAACTTAATAGGTGAGTATGAGAGACCTTAATTTATTCAGAAAATGGAGATATATCTCTTGTCCAAGGTCTGCTTACTACCTGGTAGTTATTACTAAAACTAGTTTGTAATGTTGCCATTACTTCTTTTAAGGACCCAAGGTTGGGGATCCTTAGCCTACAGACAGTTGTCCCCCTCAATACCCTCAGGGGATTGGTTATAGGAATGCCCCCCAGAAAGGGGATACCGAAATTCGAGATGCTCAAGTCCCTGACGTTAAATGGCGCAGTGTTTGCCTGTAACCCATGCACACTGCCAGTGCGTTTTCCATCACCTCTAGCTGACTCAATACAGTGTAAATGCTATGTAAATAGTTGTGATACTGCATTGTTTAGGGAATAATGACAAAAAAGTCTGTACACGTTCAGTATAGCCACAACCATTCATTTTTTAAAAAATATTTTTGATCTGTGGTTGTAATGTGTCTTTTTTCTCTGCTTATAAGATTTAAAAATTATTACCAGTTTTAAGCAATTTGATTATGAAATTAAGGTGGCACTTATCCCCCAGTGGATCTATAGATTCAACACAAAATCTTTTTATAATGACATCAATAGAGATATAACAAGGAGCCTTAGGCACTGAGGGTCCGCTGTATTTCCTACAGTAGAAATAAGCAGCTCCCAGCTGGTGAAAAGGAAATTATTCACTCATAGTGAGGGTCTAATTCAGTGTTTCTCAAACGTTTTGACCATGACCCAGAATATGAAATACATTTACATCGCTACCTGTACACACATACCCACCTATATCTAAGAAAAAAAATTCTGAAGCAGCACTTGGATAGTTTCATTTCTTTTCCATTCTATTTAATGAAAAATGGCTGGTCAAGACTCATTAAATTGATTTTGTGACCTACTAATGTGTCTCATTCTACACTTGAAAGCCACTGGTCTGGGCAGGGTGCAGCGGTGCTTACCTGTAGTCCTAGCTACTCCAAAGGCTGAGGCGAGAGTCGCTTTGTCGCAGGAGTTTGAGGCTGCAGTGTGCCATGATCACGCCTATGAATAGCCACTGCACTCCAGCCTGGGCAACATAGCAAGACCCTGTCCCTGAAAAAAGAAAATAATAAATGAAATTTAAAAACAACAAAAAACCCCACTGGTCTAAATATTCTTCTTCTATAAATATGTGTCATGCATATGTATTTAGTTCCACCATAACCTTCACACCAAGACATACAGATTATTTAATTTTTAAAAATCAAAGTAAAGTAACCACCAAGTTCCCACTCTCCAGAGATTATTGAAAATTTAAGCTTGGTCATCATTGTTGTTCTTTTCACCTTCACCCTCTCAGGGTCCTGCAATGGTTACAGGGTCTCATGCAGCCTGGACTTTCAGGGAGGGTCATCTGTTCTTGGATCTGATTTCTTGTGGTCCTTAAAAGATAGAGGACTCTACTCCATGCATAACATGCTGGCCAGGATGGACCTGCTGGCGTGAGACCCTGGCGCCAGGACACAGCGCTATAAGTGCACCATGCAGCCATGCCCTGAGGTTCTGCCCCCCGGAGGGGTTCTGCAATGCGGTAGGTCCCTCCCCTCCTGGAACTCACCCTTTACGCCCTCCCAGAGCTAAGAGAATCTCCTAGCGACAGACACTTTGTTCTCTCGTGTTCCATGCAAGTGTGGGAGCCTCTGCCTCTCAGGGACTGTGACTCGCTGCTTCTTATCTCTGCCCTGCAGTCCTGGAAGCCCCAGGTCTCCTGGGATCAAATCCTCCCATGGCTTGATGCCCACGGATAAAGAGTAGGTGGTTCCTGGGCCCACTGTCCTGCCGGATGTGCCATGGAAAACAGTCAGCACCCCTGGCTGCTCTCCACAGTCAGAGTGGAGGAAAAGGAATAACGGAATCAGGTCACATTTGGCCTCGCTGAATTTTCCTCCATCCATTTGTCGGAATTAATTACATTTAGTTCTGATCTCATGTACTGAAAAAGCAATGCTGCTTTCCCAGGTGTTAGCTTAGGAATAAGTAGATTTAGTGATTTTTTCCCAATCTCTATATTTTTCTTTTTAATGAAGTTTAGAATTAAAGACCTTCTGGCCAGGGGCGGCGGCTCACGCCTGTAATCCTAGCACTCTGGGAGGCCGAGGCGGGCGGATTGCTCAAGGTCAGGGGTTCAAAACCAGTCTGAGCAAGAGCGAGACTCCCGTCTCTACTAAAAATAGAAAGAAATTACTTGGACAACTAAAAATATATACAAAAAAATTTAGCTGGGCATGGTGGCACATGCCTGTAGTCCCAGCTACTTGGGAGGCTGAGGCAGGAGGATCACTTGAGCCCAAGAGTTTGAGGTTGCTGTGAGCTAGGCTGACGCCATGGCACTCTAGCCCTGGCAACAAAGTGAGACTCTGTCTCAGAAAAAAAAAAGAAAAGAAAAAAGGCCTTTCATTCAGCCCTTTCCTCTGCTCCCAGCTCTCTCTTGCCTGCTTCCTACCTGGCTAACAGGCCGTTCTGCAGGGGAGCACAGCAGCGCCGTGGCAGCACCACCTGCGTCAGAATCCACAAAGGGCTATGGAATGCACGGACCAACTTATAAAAAACGTCCTTGTGTGAGGACCAGGAGCTTGCTAATGGCCCCCGGTTTCAAAATCAAGCTAGACTTAGATAGTGAGGATGGTGACAACGCAGTGTGCTCAGCTTTCCATGCTTTCTATACTTTATGCAGGTAAGTTTATAAAGTGGGTATTTCCTGCCTGAAGTCTTCTCTTTTCTCTATATGAATTCTATGATTTCAATCATTTATGCCTCTGTCTAAATTAATATACCTGGAAAATTCTATTAAAGTTGTGTTCCTTATTGTCCTTATGATATCCTGTGTAAATATCTATTGACATAATTATAAAAAGATTATGTTAAATTTATAGATCAGTTATATAGAGACACTAAGTGCCACCTTAATTTCAAGATCAAGTTGCTTAAAACCAATAAGAATTTTAAAAATCTTATAAGCAGAGAAAAAAGACACATTACATACAGAGTAACAAAGGCAAGTAATGACAGCCAACCAAGTTCTCATCAGTAAAAATGTAGGCCAGAAAAAGTTGGAAATAACATCTAGCTGGATTTATAAATGGGGTCTGGGAGTCTCTGTATTTCAATAGACAAATGCAGTCCATTTACATTTATGTTGCTTACTGATACGCTGGATTTTTTCTGTCTTACTCTGTGGTTTCCCATTTACCCTGGTTCCCCTGGCCCCTTCCTAACTTCCACTGACTTGATTGAGTTTTTCATTATTTTCCTTTGCCTACCCACACCGTTAACTTAAAAATTACCTATCTGTTATTCTCAATTTTCAATACCAATATTTACTTAGATTTTAAAGTCAATTAATATTTTTGTTCTTTACCTTAACAATATAAAGACCTTAGAATTCTTCAAAATTAACCTTCTATCTTCTGTGTTGTCATTGTCTGGTACTGTAATTCCATCCTGACCCCCACCTCCTTCCTCAGTATTATTATCTTCTACAGTAAATGCTCGTTTAGATTTAGCAATACATATATATGTAACACATGCTTCTCCAGGACCACTCAAATTCATCCTTCCTGGAGGAGATTTTTAACAGGCTGTTTCAAGGAATTCTGCTAATAGTAAACTTGCTTGCCTGAAAACATCTTTATTTTACTCTCACTGTTGAATAATAGCATAATTGGGTCTAGAATTCTAGGGAGACAGTTATTTTTTTTCTCAGAACTTTGAAATATCATTCCATTGTCATTTCAGTTGTTGAGAAGTCTTCTCCAGTATCATTGACATTCTTTGACAAATAACCTGGTAGATTTTAAGACATTTTTGTTTTTGTTTTTGATGATTTGCTATTTCATTACAGTATGTTTAGATGTAATTTTTTTTCCTACTTAGGAAAAAAATAGACCCCTCTAATCTGAAGATAGTTTCCTTCTTCCATTCAGGAAAGTTTTCAGCCTTTAACTTTCCAAATGCTGCCTTACTTACCTCTTCTGGTGTTTTTTTTTTTTTTTTTTTTTCTGTTGTTTCCTTTTGTAATTGTTCCTACACATATTTCAGGATTTTTTACATTCTATCTTTCATGTGTCTTAGCCTCTCTTTGCTCTTTTCATCTCTATGCTCAGTTTCTGGGTTTTTTTTTTTTTGTTGTTGTAGATTTATATTCACTAATTTTCTGATCAGCTGGGTCTAATAGGTTGTTTTCTTATCCACTGTATTTTTAATTTCAATAACTATATTTTTTATTTCCACAATTTATATATGGTTCCCTTTCAAAAACATGTATTCTTTTCTCATATTTGTACTTGACTTATGTTTCCATGCTTTCTTTCATGTCTTTAAATATTTTGTTTTATTGTTTTAGAGACAGGGTTTCTCTTTGTTGCCAAGACTGGAGTACAGTATAGCTCACTGCAGCCTGAAACTCCTGGGCTCAAGCAATCCTTCTGCCTCAGCCTCCCCAGCAGGTAGTACTAAGGCGTGTACCACCACACCAGCCAATTTTTAAATTTTTTGTAGAGAAGAGCCTTGCTATGTTGCCTAGGTTAGTTTTGAACTTCTGGCCCCAAGCAATCCTCTTGCCTTGGCTTCCCAAAGAGCTGGGCTTACAGGTGTGAGCCACCATGCCCAGACATGCCTTTAAATGTTTTAGACAAATATTTTGTGTTACATTTCACTGTATTCCATTACCTTTAGTTTTGGGAGTGCAAATTCTCCTGTTTGTTTTTCTTGGTGACTCTCCCTTTCTTCATGAAGTCTAGAAATTTTTCTTGTGACTTTATCTTCAATGAGGGTCCCCAGCCTGTGATGTACCCCAGCGTATCTTAGTTTGCTAAGGCTGTCATAATGATATACCATGGAGTGGGTGGCTTAAATAAAAGACATTTATTTTCTCACAGTTTTGGGGTTTGGAAGTGGAAGATCAAGGTGTTGTCAGGGTTGGCTTCTCCTGGGGCCTCTCTCCTTGGCCTGCAGATGGCTGTCTTCTTGCAGTGTCCTCACATGGCCTTTTCCCTGTGTGCACACGGCCCTGGTGCCTCTTCCTCTTCTTATAAAAACACCAGCCACTATGACCTCATTTAACCTGAATTACCTCCATCAAGGCCCTATTTCTAAATAGTCATATTGGGGGCTAGGGTTTCAACATAAGAATTTTGAGGTGATATAAGTCAGTTCTTAACAAGGGGGTAAAGAAATGTCTCTGTAGAACATATACCTCTGCTGTGTTTCTAGTGGTTTCACCCATTCCAGAAAAATTTTTATATTAATTTCTGAGCTTGGAGATTTTCTCCTCATACCACCTTGTAAACTCAGATCTCACACCTCCGTTTTGATTTATTGTTTGTGGCTCTTTTTTCCAGGGACCAGAGTAGACAGCAGTCTTCTTCTTTCTTCTCCACCTAGATAGGAAGAGTTTTTCAACTTACATGTTTTTGAAAGGGATGGAATTTAAGACCCCTGACATTATGCAAGAATCTCCTTTCTGATGGCCCTGAGACCAGCTCTCCTGTCGCAGTTGGTGTGTTACAATCCAACTCCCAGCCAGTAAGACCTTCATGTGGGAATGACACCCCCTAGGGCAGCCCATTTCGTCTCTTAATTGACACTCTGGTTTTTTTTTCTTTTTATTTTGGACCCCTTTCCTAGAATTTGTAAGCTGGGCTATACATTTAAATCCATTCTTAGGGGCTTATATTTGATCTCAAATGTTTATGTGTTTAGAGAAGGATGGTGGGAGGAGGGCAATGAGTCCTGTCCATGTCCACGCAGCCCACTATATTGACAAAAATCGTTCTGGAAAACAATCCTTCAGTGCTAAGTCTCATATTCTCTATTGGACATTCCACTATTTTCCTGTGTCCTAACTGAGAGGCACCTTTAAGTCTTAGTTAGCTTACATGGTAGAGATTATGGATGGATGAATGGCCAACTTCTTCATGACCATAATTCTACATCCCATCCCAGTCTCCTCTTTGGGGAGATTTATCAGGTTCTTCCTCTACTTCCCTTCCTTGGAGAAAATTTTCCCCCCACATCAATTACCTTAAAATAACAAACCCAGTGAAAATAACTGCCATCAAGGGAAGGGATTTTATTCCCTTTAGGGCCATTAAAATGTGGCTGGTCATGTTTGTGAAAAAAAAAATGAAAAAGACACCAAAATGTGGGTGTTATGTCTGAGATTTTTTTTAGGTCAAAAGAGTTGTGAAATCTCTAGGTCTAGCAGAGCTAGAATGGGCTGGCAATAGCACTGCTCATCAAACTCTTCACGCTCATGCCTCCTTTCTTTTCTGAGCAGATTCTCAGTGAGGTCTCCAGGGAGCTCCAACTGACAGCACCAATGAGCCGATCGATGGTGATGGAAAGGCGGCCCTCGATGGGATTCACAAATTACTTAACCTGGAAAATGTTCATTTAGAAGCTAAGGAATATTCTACTGCCTAATTGCTTACCATAACAAACATCCTAGATGGAAAACTACTGGACCATAACAGCCTTAAAGGCATTCTGGTTGTAGCTAAAAGTGATGAAAATGCCATCACAGGTGAACTTCAATATGGACATGGACTGTGCTTTTATGACATTCTGAGCACTTAAGTTTTATTCTTAGGTCAGCTCTTTCCACAAAAGAATCATGCTAGATCTCTGACAATACTGACCCGTGCTGTTCTACTCCCCTGTCACAGGACAACAATAAGTGTAATGACTGCTTTGATGGCTAGGATGGACAGCAAAAGTCATAGCTCTATCTCAGATCTCCTGTGTCACCTTTATTTATGCTCTCTAAGTTTGAAAAATATGAGGCAACTGCATTCTGACCCACAGAGCTAATGTTGGGAAAAAATCCACCCCAAACAAGGTACAAAGAAGCAGAATTCATGAAAGTCTGACAGCACCCAACAGCGACAGATGCAGGGGAGCCATTGCAGCAGATTAGTGGCTATGCGGGTTGGGGCACTGGGCACTAATCTGGGATTGTAGAAACTGGGGCTGCAACTAAAAGATAATACATGTTTCGCCCTGTAGTAGTTAAAATGCTTTTAAGCAGCACAGATGTAGAGGCATCTGCAAAATGAGGGCATTCAGCCATCTGCTACCGTCCCTGGTCACCTGCACACACCCCTTGTCAGCTGTGCAGACCTGCAGCCTGCGGAGGGGAGCCGGGCTGAAGGAAAGGAGGGCAAAGGAGAGGTGGTTTCCAGAGCAGGCGGGACACCTCTGTGCACGTACAATAAATATTGCTGGTGACTTCTGGATGAAACGAGTTAATACTATGCTTCATTTTCCTGAAGACTGAGGCCAAATGTGGCATTGGTCAGGAAATGCTTTATTTACCTTTGGCCAAAAGTCACTTATCCAATCAACTAATATTTATTGAACACCTGTTTTATGTCACGCTGGGGAGGCAGATCTAAAAGATATCCAAGTAAAATGCTATGAAGAAAAATAGAGCAAGAAAAAGGGGTAGCAAGTGGCAAGAGATCTATCCCATGGTAGAGAGATGGATTTTATTTGGAGAAACAGAATGTAGACAGTGAATTTGCATAATAGTGGTTAGGGAAAAACTATGATTTTTAAAAATGGTATTCAACTTTTTGTATCTTTATTCTAATAATCATTCTATAAAAGAATCAGTTTCTCCTATGAAAAAACATAACATACTATTTTCAAGGATAGCGTATTTATGCATAAAGGTATATATGTGCTATATCAATTATTAATTAAGCAATTAAGTTCCAAGATGTCACAGGTTGAGTACTGCAGAAACATGCTGAGTGGGAGCTTGGTGGGCAGGGAATTTATCAGAGATCAACACCTGTGGAAAGGAGATGAAGGAAGCAGGGTTTCCTTCCTTAGGAATCAACATGCAAAAAAATTTAACATTGCAATACACACACACACACACACACACACACACACACACTAAGGAAAGACCTGCTCAAGAAATTCACAAAATAGCCAGGTGTATACAAAAATTTCAATTTCATTGATCTTGAAATTATATATAAATCAAAGTAATAAAACAATAAGATACCGTTTTCTATCATCACATCAGACAAGGATAAAGAAAAATTATAGAACTTAACAAGAGTAAAGATTGGGAAAATGAGCACTCTTATGCAACTACTGGTGGGAGTGTGAATTGGCATAATATTTCAGGAAAGCAATTTTGCAATCTATGTGTAAAGCCTTAAAATATATGTGCCTGACAAGCCAGCTGCATTGCTGTGTAACAAATTACCCAAAACTTAGTTGCTCAAAAATAATAGACATGCATTATTCCATGGTTTCTATGGAATTTGAGAATAGCTTAGCTGAGTTGTTCTAGCTCAGGGTCTCTCGTGGCTTGCAATGGAGATGTCAGCTGAGGATGCCGTCATCTGAAGGCTGGACGGGGGCTGGAGAGCTGCTTCCAAGATGGCACACTCTCACGGCTATTGGCAAGGGGCCTCAGTTTCTCCATGGCTACTGGCAGGAGGCCTCAGTTTTACTATGTGGGCCTCTCCACAGGCTGCTCGAGTGTCACTGACATGGCAGCTAACTTCCCTCGGATGAGTGATCCAACAGCAAGATGGAAATCACAATGTCTTTTATGACCTACAGCCGGAAGTCATGCTCCGTCATTTACACACATTCTATTCATTAGAAATGAGTCACCAGGTTCACCCCACACTCAAGAGGGAGGAAACCAGCTGCACAGAGAGAGGCTAATCAAAGATTCTGTGGACTGTTATAAAAACTACCAGTTTGCCTACTGACCACAAATTATTTACATTCCCTTACATGCAAAATATGTTCACCCTCTGCTAAGATCTCCCAAAATTCTCATGCCTAAATAGCATCCAGTCAAAATCCATCTAAATATCTAATATCTGATATCTAAATCAGCTCCAGGGGACAAGGCTCCTCAGGTATGGTTGAGGAAGCACAGCTTCTCTGGCACAGTGGCTCTTGGTCTGAAGACACATGGAGCAACTTTAAAAGCATCTCTGGTATGCCTCTAAAAACCCAAAACTCTTCTTTACCAGATTTTTTTTTCCTAAATAGGGCAGGTCTGCAAAGATGGAAAGAAGAGGAAATACTAAAAATAACTTTCCCCAATTAGTGAGAACCGAACACATATGGTAAGATGGAAATAGTTTTAGATGGCCCAAAGTAACACTGTGATGCAGAATGAACTCCCCAAGCACAGGGAATAATTAGAAACAGCCACAAAAACTTACTCAAGACGTTGTGGGAACAACTGCTGACTAGGATATTTAGGGCAGGCAGAAGACCCTGAAGAGGTGATTATGGTCTTGCAACTTTTAGAACCTGTAGAAGTTGAGGAACCGGCTCTGAAAGTGTTCCTATCCAATCCTTTTCATGAAGGTACAGGTGCTGGGTTCCTTCTTGGAAAGTCGGGCATTTTGGCTCTCTTACTAGAAATTCTAGGGAGGGTAGAGGATCAGAGTCCCACCTTTCATGAAACCCAGAGGCAAATGGCTCAGCCACTCCTTTTCCACTCCTTTTCCTGGTAGCTTTGTTTTTTCTATGGCATGCAGGGAAGAGCCACCTGCGGGCTGTGGCCTGCTGCAGGGGCACCGGGGCCGCTGAGACCAGGCTGCAAGCCTCATCCCTCTGGGCTCTGGGCCAACTGACCAGCTGGCCGCCCTGCCCTGGACATTTGGGCAGCCATCAGCCAGCTGGACAGGTGCTCGGTGCCAGGGCCGCCTTCCCCTGAAGTTGGGTCAACACTGAAGACCAGAAGGGACACGAGCCCTGCCACGATGGGGGCCTGATGTCACCTGGAGCGCAGCTCCTCAACGCTGCGTCCCTTTTGTTATTGACTGGCTTCCATGTCCTCGTATGATCTCACATATCCGAGTTCCTCTGCCATCTTTCCTATGTCCAGTGCAGCCGTCCAGCCGCCTGTGCCCTGCGGGAGCAGTGCTGGTTGCGACACTGAGCTGCTCTGAACTGGTCAGGAGCCAGTGCCCTGAGCCCCGCGTGCCCACTGCTGCCGGACACCTCCCCAGGGCCCGTCCGGCTGCTGGCCTGCCCGTCCCCCACAGCTGTTCAATATTGTGAACTTATCTTCTGGTATTTCTTTCTTTTCCTTCCATCCACTGATCCTTAATTTCTACCTACTCACCCCAAACTCTGCTTTGGGTCACCCCGCTCATCCCACACTCTCCTTAAACAACCTCAGCGCCGGGACTTCCTTCCCCCTTGGCCTTTCCCACAGTGAAGCTGAGGGCTCTGCCTTCCCCGCACGTCCTGGCAGCGTCCTGTGGCCAGAGGGTGCTCACCTCCCCACTGAGGAGTCCGACGCAGGATGGAGCAGACAGCCCAACGCTCGGGGCCCAGGACAGCCTGTCACTCGGGCCACAGCCAGACTCCCAAAGGTTTTTGAGAATCAGTAAACCAGTGATGTTGTTTTCTGTGGTGCCTCTCCTCAGCCTGCTCCAGGATGGAGGAGAATAACCTCTTGCTCCCTGCTTTGCTAATCAGTTTACCAAAAAACTGGAAACCGAGACTCCCTGTTCCCAGGTGGTCCTGCTCGTGGACTCTGCCCTCCGCCCCTCCCACGTTTGCCTTTGCTCCCCAGTGATATTAACTGGATGATCTTTCCTCCCAGGAGAGCATGTTTGTATGCAAATAAGTTCCCTGGCTTATTCTCTGACACCAGGGATCCTTAGATCCCGCCTGGGCAACCACAAACTCAGAACCAACAGTGGAAATTGAACCACCAATCAAAGCAGCTGCAATTTTACAACTTCAGTGAATGAATGAATGAACACACCTTTGTCCAGTGACCACCACAAGTGAGAATCTGTGTGTGCAAAGACAACACAGTAGAGGACAGTGTCTGTCATGGAGTTGGAGTTTCTGGTTTAGAGAAATAGATAATGTAGTCTAAAGGAGGGAGTAGAAAATAGCATTAGGAGGCAGAAACAAAATGCTGGCAGAGGATGGAGATAATGCTTTGGCTGAGGACACCAGGGACGTGTGATGAGAAGAGGGCTGTGGGCCTGGGGAGGCGGACAACTGGGTTTGAAACCCAGCCTTGCCAAGGACTGGCTGTGTGACAGCACCATGCCTTGGTTCCCTTAAGTATAAAATGGAAATAATCGTGCCTACCTCATGAGATTGTCATGAGAATTACACAAGACCATGCTCCTAACGCTGCTGGTGCGTGGGCCATGTGGAATGACGTTAGCTACTGTTTTTGTAAGTTGCATGGAGGAGACCGCATTTGACCCGGGCCCTGACGCCAGGGTGCAATTTGGGCATGTGCACATGGAGGGTACTTGGCAGAGTCAGGGACTCAGACAGGACAGGGCTTCTAAAGCAGTAACAGATCCCCTTCTTTGGGGCTGAGAAGACTTAATGCTGTCAATCCTTAGTGATAACAATTTTTCAGAATTTCTCTTTAAACGTAATAGGCCTTGCAAACAACTGGTAAAGAAAACTGCTAATGAAAAAAAGACAAAGCACGTAGGCACTTTGCAGGAAAGGTCCAACGTGTCCACGTGTAGGTGGGCAAACAACCTTCAGGGGGACGTCTGGACAGACTTGTTGGAGAGGGCCATTTCTCCCCGAGGTGGCTAGGTGGCGACAGAAGCACGTGAAAGCCCCAGGAATGTGTCTGTCCCATCTTCTCTGCAGCTCACAGGCTGCTCTGGGGCCTGCCCTTCCTCCTCCCCACCCCACACCCCACCCAGCAGCCCACACCCCACCCCACACCCACATCCCCACCCCACCCCACACCCCACTCCACACCCCACACCCCACCCCAACCCCACACCACACCCCACACCACACCCCACACAGCCATCCTTTTGCCCCTCTTTGCTTTTCTTTCTTCTGATTTTTCCTGAAAGACAAATCAGTCTCAGGCCAGTACATGCACTGAGGAGCACAAGTGTATGGAAATACCAGGTCATAGCTAATGTGAATAGGTTGGCACGTTTGAGAAATGTGTATCTGCTAAGAAGTCCATTAGGACTCTAGAAGTTCCCCTTAAAACTTACATATTTAGCCGGGCGTGGTGGCGCGTGCCTGTCGTCCCAGCTGCTGGGGAGGCTGAGGCAGGAGGATGGCTTGAGCCCAGGAGTTCCACGCTGCAGTGAGCTGGGATCCTGCCACTCTACTCCAGCCTGGGTGACAGAGCAAGGTCCTGTCTCTTAAAAAAAAAAACCAAACAACAACAACAACAACAACAAAAACCTTCATATCTAACTAAACACAGTTCAAAGTTTTCAAAGTTTCTGGGACTGTACTTGATTTGAGGGAAAAACATTCGACAGTGTGGCACGGAAAGAGCATGGCTTTGCATCCCTCAGTCCTGGGTCCAACTCCTGCCACAACACTCACGTGGCAGCGTCCGGCCAGGCGCAGCGACACATGCTCCGCGCCCGCCGGGGCAGGGGCCGGGCACCAAGGGTACACGCGGCTGTCGCACAGGGCACCTTGGTCAACTCGGGCACCTTGGGACACGAAGCTTTGGAGGAGGAAACGATAGTCTAAGACCTGCTATGGCCAGCCGAGGAAAGAGTCCCATCCAGCAGACGCTGGCCGAGCATTTCATCCGTGCGAGGCACAGGGCTGGGAGAGGAGGGTGGTCACCACCGAGCGGGAAACGTCCTGGTGGCACAGCTTCCTGCGCAACGGCGCAGCCCCTGGGCGAGGACAGTGGAGCGGGAGGAAGGGGCGGGCAGAGAGACGATGGCGCAGGACGCCTGTTCCCTTGGGTCACATGTCTTGGTAGTTTGTGCGCAGGTTTCTGGGGACTCGGGTTTGGCGGCCCAGGTCCGGGGCGGATTGAGAGGTGCTGAGCCGGGTGCCCGGAGTCTCGATCCGGCCTGAACCGCGGTGAGCTTGCCATGTGGTCAAGTATGTTATGGACCCGTTTGCTCCAGACGATGTCCACAAAGGGTTCGTTGTGAGATTGTGAAGTTTGCTTTTTGAACAGGGTGTCATACGGAAGAAGGAGCTCGGGGCTCCCAGCTTGACTGAAAGTCCAGTGTCACCGTCTGCTCCTCATGGGGCTTTAGACAGGTGCTTGTGACTCCTAAAACAGGGCTGGTGCCAGGCAGAGTGGTAGGCTGTGGTTCCCGCCCCTGGCGTGCCAGCCCTGGGTAACCCTCCCCGCGTGTGGGACCTGTGAGTAGGGCGGGACGTCACACCCAGGATTATCTTGGATTATCTTACGCTGCGAGACAGAGGTGAAAGGGTTCTGCAGAAGTAATCAAGGTACCTGAGCTGTGGTTTGAGTTAATGAGGGCAATTTCCCTGGGTGGGCCTGACCCAATCAGGCGAGTCCTTGAAGAGAGGGTCCAGGGGTGGAGACTGGAGTCAGGGCCGCTCCCCTGGTGGCCTTGCAAGAGTGCACTGCCTTGGTGTGGAGAAGACCACGTGTCAGAGAGCGGCAGGTGGGAGCTGAGGACAGCCCCACTTGACAGCCAGCGGGAAGGCAGGAGCCTCGGCGCCACCACCTCAGGCCGTCTCGTGGCGACGTGAGCTTGGAAGAAGACTTCAGTGCGATGAGACGCGAGGAGACCACGGCCCACCTGACACCTTGCTGTAGCCTTGTCGCACCTGAGCAGAGGACCCAGCTAAGCTGCGCTGGGCTCCTGACCCATGGAAATTACAAGATGATAAGCGGGTGTTATTTTAAGCCCCAAATTTGTAGAATTTGTTACACAGCAACAGAAGACTAGTGTCAGACTGTGTTACCTCCTCTGCAGAGTGGCGAGGATTAGCAGAAAAACATGTGAAGCACCTGGCTCGTGGGGCTATACTAATAAATGGTAGCTTTAAGTCACATAGTCCATAACGATCCCATTTTTTTGTTAGGGAATGTAAATCTCCTCTTTTGTGGATGAATCTTGTGAAATGCTGAGAGTTGTTGAGGGGATTGAATGAAGCCATGGGTGCAACGTGCTCTAGTGCAGACTGTAGCGCACAGTAAACAGTAGGCAATAGCAACGGTGATGGTGATGGTGGTGGTGTTTTTCATCCTGGTGAAAACAGGTATACATTGAAAAAGACATAGATCTGTTTTTTTTTTCCTTAAAACCACTTTTGACTTGCCTTACAAGTAGCTTTTCTTGCAGAAGTACCAGAGACCATTATAGAATTACTCCTGTTCGAATAGAAATGAACCTTAGATATAATCTGGCCCAATTTGTTCAGTTTGCAAATGAAAAAACAGTGAGTCTGAAGTCAGCTTGTTCAATGCCACAAAGCAAATTAATAGCAGAAACAGGAGTAGAATGCAGGCATCTTGATGCCAAGGCCACTTCTGCAGAACCAAATACAGTCATCCCTCGGTGTCCCTGGGGGATTGGTTCCAGGGCCGCCTTGGATACCAAAACCCACAGATGCTCAAGTCCTTGGTGTAAAATGGCATTATATTTGCACATAACCTACACAATCCTCCCATACACTTTACATCACCTGTAGATTGCTTATAATACCGAATTTGTCTTATGGTATTGTTTAGGGAATAATGACAAGAGGGAAAAGTC